CGCATTCAGGGCGTGTCAGAATGCATTTTTGCTAACTTAAGGACAGGAAAATCCGATTTGCGCCGTGGCGCGTGGTCTAAAAGGGTTGAGTTTATTTTCTTAATGAGTTATAGGTGTGTTTTGAGAATAAACCAATCCGAGTCTCATCTCCCATTCCCTTTAAGAGCCAGCTGCGTCGCGCCATAAGCGCATTCGCTATTCACATGACGTAAAGTAAGTTCACTTTCGCTTTTGCTCTCGTGGATAGGGAAACCTTACCGCACAGACATCAATTAGCCTATAAATTATTAATTTCATTTATTAAGTGCAAAGATTTGTTTCAAAACTATTTCTAAATTCTAAGTTCTAATTTCCAGCAAACGAATAAATGATTAATAATAACAAAGTGTGGTCAAAATACTGAGTTATTTCCAAATACACCTGCCATGCCCCATATGGTGTAAAACCTGACAGGTGGACAAATCTAAGCTTGTTTTTAATAAAACAAATATAAATATGGATATAATAAATAAAACTGCTAATAATAATAAAATTTTACAAAAGCAAATTGAATGAACTGAAAAAGCCTCTCGAGATGAAGAAAGTATGAAGGCAGTGGTTTTTAAATTCATGTAGGCCATAAATGAATATGTTTTGTAATGTTTTAATCATTTATATTTATATCTTATATATATCCTTAATATATTCTATCTTTTTTCATATGTAAAGATATTTGCGTATTGCATCTTGTGTGTAGTGTGTAAGCCAGGCGCACTTTGCGCCAGAAAATAGACCGACTTTGTTCTGGTCTGAAAATCAGACTATTTACAGTTTCTCAAAATCGCAACGCGCCAAAACATGCCTGCTTTTTTAGACCAGAACGCCTATGGGCACACATTTGAGCGCAAATGCATTTGCTATTTAAACAGCGTGGCGCAACACCTCAAAATGAGTAGTAAAAGACTATTGCGATGCGCCTTGCGCCACATTGCGCCGGGTGTATGTTAGGGCCCTTTGACATACATCACTCCACAAAAAAAGTTATTTATAGTGGAGTAAAGGGTTATTTATATATTTTTAAAGATGTTAAGATTTTAAAGGTGTTTCTATACTATCAGAGTACCCTTTTTGGGTCTTCTTGCCATTTTTATTTTATTTCTATGTTTTAACTGTAAACATTGCATGTTTCAATGTTACTGTCTATGTACTGAATAATATACAGATATTTGTACATGTTTAATAACCCATTCTTATCAATTGCAGCTGGTTAGTGGCAATACTGGCTCAAGCAAATCCTCTGTTTGGACCCCAGCTTAAAAACGAGACCATATGGTATCTGCGGTACTACTGGGAGTAAATGGAGGTAAACTAGTGCTCGTATCAGCTTATTTTTTCTTCTATAAGGACTCAGTATTGATTACGATGATTTTGATTGATTCTTGTGTCTTGCAGGAGTCATCTGGAGGATTCAGAATATTTCTTTCATTAGGATTTTACTCTCACAGTTCATCAAATCTGCAAAAATCTTAAAATACTGAGGGATCTATTCCAAGAGAACAACCCTTGTGTTATCACTAAACAACATTGGCATTACAAACGACTAAAAGGAATATGTTTTTCACATAAATCACACAATATTTGATCAATCATGACTGAAAACTTGGAAAGGACTTCAGAATATGTATATAAAAGAAATGATATACTGAGATATTCTTGTGAAATGTGAAGAGTTGTCAGTTTGTGTGCTTTGGACGTATGAGAGTTTGAGTAATGTGAGTATTTTTTGTTGTGCATTTACAAAACATCATTGTGTCGTCCTCTCCTGCACGCGACTATCCATGTTCACTTCTTAAAATTATTTTTTTTTCTATTTATTAATGTTTTTATTTGTATTATAGACAGATTGATATTCTATTGCTGTTAATATATGTAGATGAAGCTGTCGTACATGTTCATGAAAGACTCAAACCACTGAAAATAAAGTGAAGTATTAAAAAGAAATCTCATTTTCCTTATGCGTAGTCCCTTATTTATTAGTGTTCGCCACAGCGGAATGAACCACCAACTATTCCAGCATATGTTTCACACAGCGGATGCTCTTCCAGCTGCAACCCAGTGCTGGGAAACACCCATACACACTCATTCACACACATACACTACAACATATTTATTCAATTCACCTATAGCGCATGTGTTTGGACTGCGGAGGGAACTCACGCCAACACTGGGAGAACATGCAAACTCCACACAGAAATGGCAACTAAGCCAGCCAGGACTCAAACCAGCGACTTTCTTGCTGTGAGGTGACCATTGCTAACCACTGTGAACTTTCAGTGACTGCTTAAAAACATGTAAGAGTCATATTTGATTATGGTTGTCAGACTACAGGTTTAATAAATAAGCAGAATTAATGAGTGAAAGGTAAGAGTGTACAGACTTTTTTCAGTTCGAGGACAGTGTGAACAGCAACAAATTAATAAAAACAGTATTAATACTTAGGTAGACAGCATGTAAACAGACCTTGGCTGATTCATCTGTATTTTATGCCTACGGTTGATTAATTGTGGCTTGTTTAGAAGAGCTGATTTGCATATTATATACTGTATGAATTGCTTTTAGAAATTGAGTAAAAAAAATTGACTTTTGAGACTTTAACTTTGTGTTAATATTAATAACTGCATAAATGATCAGAAATTCATAGTATTGTTTGTTATGTTCAGTTAATTAAAAAATAAAATCTTGTTTCATAATTAACAGTATTAAGAACTAATTGTTTGGTATATTTGGTTAAAGAAGGCCACCCTAGTTTTATTTATATTAAAATATTTTCTGATTAATTTAGTGTTTTAATTTTAAAGTGTGCATTAAAAAGTCATAAACCAACTTAACCAATAGTGTATAATAATAATAAATTATTTACAATAAGCATTGTTTACAGTGTAATAAAAGATCTAAATAATACTTAAATTTTTAAGTTTCTATATTTATATTAGTGTTATTTATATCAGGGGTGTCAAACTCAACTGATAGTACTAATTGAGTCCTTCAGGCTTGTTTGAAACTTACAGGCAAGTGTGTTGAAGCAGGGTAGTAACTAAACTGTAGGGCTGCAGCCTTGAGGGAACTGAGTTTGACACCCCAGACTTATATTATTCTTAATTATTTATAGTTTTATTTATGTTATTTATATTTCTAATATAAATAATATAATGTAATATTGAGGTATTTGTAAAAGAATCTAATAATAATCAAATAAAGTTTAATAGTTTGCTTTAAAGAAACTATTCGCTCGCACACACACAAAGATCTGCCATCATTTACAGCTTGATTGAGGTAAAGTTGGGTTTATAGTTGCACATTTGTTAATTTAATGGTCCCTATATTGTTTACCACTCTACTTTGCATATTCGGTCTGAATTAGCATGTAATTATGATGAAAAATCAATAAAAATAATAATATGATGTACTGTAATCATGGCAGAAATTAAAGACATTAATTATTAAATTTAAAGGAAACCCTTTAATTAAAAAAAAAAAAAAACAGTTTAAACCAGCCTAGGCTGGTTGAGTGGTTTTAGCTGGTCGACCAGCCTGGTTTTAGAGGGGTTTTGGCCAGTTCCAGGCTGGTTTCAGATATTTCAAGCTGCTTAAACCAGCTTGACCAGCCAAAACCTGCTATGTCCATCTTAATCTCTAAATCCTTGTTTATTATATAAATAATATAATTTAATATTGAGGTATTTGTAAAAGAATCTAATAATAATCAAATAAAGTTTAATAAAAGCTTTAAAGAGACTATTCACGCGCCCACACACAAAGATCTGCCATCATTTACAGCTTGATTGAGGTAAAGTTGGGTTTATAGTTGCACATTTGTTAATTTAATGGTCCCTATATTGTTTACCACTCTACTTTGCATATTCGGTCTAAATTAGCATGTAATTATGATGAAAAATCAATCAGCACCATTTATTTAACTGAACAATGTTGTGCCTAGATAGATATTCATGCATTCATTAATTTTCCTTCGGCTTAGTCCCTTTATTCATAAGGGGTCGCCACAGTGGAATGAACCATCAACTTTCCAGCATATGTTTTCACACAGCGGAGGTCCTTCCAGGTGCAACCCAGTACTGGAAAATATCCATACACATTCACTACAATCAATTTAGTTCATCAAGTGCATGTGTTTGGACCTTGGGGGAAAACAGAGCACCTGGAGGAAACCCACAATAACAAGGGGAGAACATGCAAACGGCAACTGACCCATCCGGGACTCGAACCAGCTTACTGTGAGGCAACAGTGCTAACCACTGAGCCACCGTGTCACCCACCTAGATGGGTGCTAATATGATTTTACTAATTTGCAAATAATACTTTTCTGAAATTATATTATTAAGGAACATGTCTGAATGTCCGAATATAAAACCAACTTTACCTCAATCGCTGCTTGTTTCCAAACTGGTTTGTATTTAATTTCTTTGTTGAACTCACAAAACATATAGGCCTTTACCTATTTAGAAAAATGTATGGCAACAAATGACTTTTTGTATTTTTTACCTTACTAAGGATGTCAAATACTTCTCTATCATTAATAATCTTGTCTTATCATTATTTTTGTGTTCACGTCAGGGTAAGTGAACATAAAAAATTAAACAAACAAAAAAAAAAAAAATCGGATGGACTGTCACTTTAAGGGAATGGGCGGCGGCTGCAGAATTCTACATTCTGATTGGCTGTTCCTGACGGATCGTGGGTAGTGTAGTTCTTCACCGCAATTTGGCTCTGCTTAAATGTGCATTCAATATTATTAATATTGACCGATTGGTTAAACTGACGAATATAGCTATTGCTCAGTAGCTCATGGTGCATCTCTCTTTCCAGGCATTAATCTTCAGGAATCAGACGGGTGCACTACACGCTCATAAATATTCACAATACCTCAGGACAACCTCATTAATATTCAACAGCTAACATACGCTAGCTGATTCATAGTTTTCCCATACGGACTTTAGTGAGGGCAAGATATGTTTTGCAGCAGATTACAACGCTGGACCGCTTTTAGATAAAACAACAAAATCATAACAAACGAGACTTGTTGACACTGTTGTTGTTGTTGTTGACGTGTTTATAAGCTTGTGTGCGATTGTTTGGACATCTACAGCTACCAGGTAACTACATACAGAAGTTTAATCAGACTTTTTATATACTTTAGTATGGCTATATTTTGTATTATTACTATTTTGAGACTTAGCCTAAATGCTATGCGTTTAAGTTAAAAGGAAATTATTATTTGTTCTAGTAAATTATTATTAATATTATTATTATTACATTTGCCAAGTAATGTTTAACAGAGCAAAGACTTTTTGTTTCTGATTTTAATATCTGTAATAATTTTTTTATTAAAATAGTAATAAAAAGTTTTATATATATATATATATATATATATATATATATATATATATATATATATATATATATATATATATATATATATATATATATATATATATATACAATCAGTTCCAGCGTTATGGATGTGGCATTTGCAGTAAATTCTCAAAACATGAAAAAAATCAATCTGTGAACATTTTTTTATATTTTAAATAGGGAAAATAAACACACAAAAAAGTCCGAGTGTACAGTGCACAACATACTTGGTCGAAATTCTGTGAATTAAACTGCACAACCTGAAAGAAACAATGCTAATTAAAAAGGTAAAAGTTGCTCACTATAGAACAAAAAGGATTGATTTTATTTGATTTGACATTTTTTCATTTCTAAGGGAAAACTTTTTTACGGATGTGACACCGCTTTGTTACGGATGTGACGGATGTGAAATTGCCACTTGTGTGACTTTTGTTAATGAAATATAATTGTTTGAAAACACTGACAGAAACATATTTCAGTATTTTTAAAGCACTGTAAAATACAAGCTTACACACACACACACACACACACACACACACACACACACACACACACACACACACACACACACTCACACACACACACACACACACAAAAACGATTTAAACGTGCTATTTTTATGGGAAAGGCTTGGGTTATGGATGTGACGCCTCTCCGTTATAGATATGACAGATGTAAAATTGCCACTTGTGTGGTTTTGGTAAATCAAATATAATACTTCGAAAACATTGACAGATACATTTTTGAGTATTTCTGAAGTGCTGTAAATACTTGCTTACACAAAAAACTAAGAAACGGTTTCCATATTTTGGTGAAAATCTAATATTTTTTATTTATTATTATTATTTTTAGGTTGACATTTGCATGGAATTGCTCATATATATTATCAATCTCTAAGGCCAAATGTATTATTAACGTTAGCCCCTTTAAGAAATTGGAATATTTTTTGCATTGGCTATAAATTATCCCAACTGGTTAACCTAATTTAACCTAATAAGAAATTACACTTTAAGCAGAATACTAGTGTCTTTCAAAATAAAAATATGATGTACTGTAATCATGGCAGAAATTAAAGAAATTAGTTATTAAAATTAAAGGAAACCCTGCTGAAAAAAAAAAAAACACAGTTTAAACCAGGCTAGGCTGGTTGAGTGGTTTTAGCTGGTCGACCAGCCTGGTTTTAGAGGGGTTTTGGTCAGTTCCAGGCTGGTTTCAGACATTTCAAGCTGCTTAAACCAGCTTGACCAGCCAAAACCTGCTATGTCCATCTTAATCTCTAAATCCTTATTTATTATATAAATAATATAATTTAAAATTGAGGTATTTGTAAAAGAATCTAATAATAATCAAATAAAGTTTAATAAAAGCTTTAAAGAGACTATTCGCGCGCCCACACACAAAGATGTGCCATCATTTACAGCTTGATTGAGGTAAAGTTGGGTTTATAGTTGCACATTTGTTATTTTAATGGTCCCTATATTGTTTACCACTCTACTTTGCATATTCGGTCTAAATTAGCATGTAATTATGATGTAAAAATCAATTAAAATAAAAATATGATGTACTGTAATCATGGCAGAAATTAAAGACATTAATTATTAAAATTAAAGGAAACCCTTTAATTAAAAAAAAAAAAAAAACAGTTTAAACCAGGATAGGCTGGTTGGCTGGTTTTAGCTGGTCGACCAACCTGGTTTTAGAGGGGTTTTGGCCAGTTTCAGGCTGGTTTCAGACATTTCAAGCTGCTTAAACCAGCTTGACCAGCCAAAACCTGCTATGTCCATCTTAATCCAGGCTGATAAAGCTGGTTTTAAATGGTTTTAGCTCATTTTCCAGCCTCACCAGCTAAGACCAAGCTGGAAATGTCTGAAACCAGCCTGGAAATGACCAAAACCCCTCTAAAACCATGCTGTTAGTCTCTTTATTATGGGGGTCGCCACAGCGGAATGAACCGCTAACTTATCCAGCACATGTTTTACGCAGCAGATGCCCTTCCAGCTGCAACCCATCACTAGGAAACACCCATACACTCTTATTCACACACATACACTACAGACAATTTAGCCTACCCAATTCACCTGTACCACATATCTTTGGACTTGTAAGGGAAACCCATACCAACACAGGTAGAGCATACAAAATCAACACTGGAATGCCATCTGACCCAGCCGAGGTTCAAACCAGCGACCTTCTTGCTGTGAGGCGATTACGCTAACCACTGCGCCACCGTGCAGTCCGAAATCTTAAACAGCGCTTGGAAAATATCTCAAAGTATTCAATTTCACAGGAAGGCTAATCATTTAGGCTTCAACTGTATATACTCTGTACACTCTCTGTCTTTTTAGATATTTATAATTGACAAGTGTGTAGATTATTAACTGCACGCTATACCAGAGTTCACGTTTTCCTTTAACCACATCTGTTTCTTTCTCCAGACGGATCAAATCCATCGGCATGTTTGCGCACCGCAGTTTCAGTCTTCTGTGCAGAAGATCAGCTGTTACATCATGGAGAAGTCAGAGTCACACTGCAGGGAAGCGGCTGGATATAAGTGGCATTTATCCTCCCATTGCCACTCCATTTACTGAGCCTGAAGATGTGGACTATCAAAAACTTGATGACAATATTAGGAAATATGGACGTTTACCTTTTAGAGGTGGGTAAAGTGTGCTGGCAGCCACGATTAAACAGATAACATGGCATGCAATAGCAATTATAGTGACATGTTGTGAAGGTAAAGCCTACAATATATAATTTAAGGCATGCATATTCGCTGTAATGATTGTGTGTGTCCTGGATTTATGCTGACAATAGTTAACAGATGTTAGTATTGAGATAAACCTCGTGCAGCCTTGGGTTAAAGTCCACTTTTAAAGGGACAGTTCAGCCAAAACTGAACATTTCCCCACTATTTGCTCACACTCAAGTGGTTCTAAACCTTTATGAATATCCTATGTTGAAAACAAAGCAAGATATTTTGATGATTGCTGGAAAAAAACAGCATATGACATATTTAGAAAATACTCTAGAGTGTTACTTTTTTTAACAACATTCTTTAAAATATGGGGTTTTGTATTTGACAATCAACTAAAACATGTTTGTGACCAGTTCACGGTGAGTTTATGGCATTTGTTTTCATTTTTTCCGAACTTTTTCTTATTTTGGGTGTGCTATGCTAGTTTTAACCATTGGTTTAAAACTGTTAAAGTGCTCTACCTAGTGGACATTCTGAAAATTACATCCACATTCAACCTAAAGTCACTGGAAATTCAGATTTATTCTAGCCTGCTCTCCGAAATATGTTGTCTGACTGGGTATCTGTCTGTTAGTCCGTCCGTCTAGGCATCTGCCCGCCCGCCCGTCCGTCCGCCCGTCCGTCCGTCCGTCCGTCCGTCCGTCCGTCCGTCCGTCCGTCCGTCTGTCTGTCTGTCTATCTATCTATCTATCTATCTATCTATCTATCTATCTATCTATCTATCTATCTATCTATCTATCTATCTATCTATCTATCTATCGATCTATCTATCTATCTATCTCTCTATCTATCTATCTATCTATCTATCTATCTATCTATCTATCTGTCTGTCTGTCTGTCTCTCTGTCTGACTTTCCATCAATCTACATTTCTGTCCATCCATCCGTTTGTCTGTCTCTCTGTCTGTCTGTCTGTCTATCTATCTATCTATCTATCTATCTATCTATCTATCTATCTATCTATCTATCTATCTATCTATCTATCTATCTATCTATCTATCTATCTATCTATCTATCTATATCTATCTGTCTGTCTGTCTGTCTGTCTGTCTGTCTGTCTGTCTGTCTGTCTGTCTGTCTGTCTGTCTGTCTCTCTGTCTGACTTTCCATCAATCTACATTTCTGTCCATCCATCCGTTTGTCTGTCTCTCTGTCTGTCTGTCTATCTATCTATCTATCTATATCTGTCTGTCTGTCCGTCCATCCGTCTGTCAACCTACATCTATCTATCTATCTATCTATCTATCTATCTATCTATCTATCTGTCTGTCTGTCTGTCTGTCTGTCTGTCTGTCTGTCTGTCTGTCTGTCTGTCCGTCCGTCCGTCCGTCCGTCCGTCCGTCCGTCCGTCCGTCCGTCCGTCTGACTTTCCATCAATCTACCTTTCTGTTTAAAGTATCAAACCCATGCTAACAACAGATTAATGCTAACATAGCATGCAAACATGCTAGCATGCATTATTAGTAATATAAGCTAAATCCTTCTAGCAATGTGCAAAAACATGTTAGAAACTTACTCATTTATGCTAATGACACATCATCAATGTTTTTAAACATGCCAGAGATATCATAAACTCTTTCATTTGCTTGTACGTCAATTGTCTTCCTTTGTAATTAATGTTAACATGGTAAACTTGCTAATAGCACGCCAATCCATCTTAACCTTGTATTAAAGCATATTAGCAACATGTTAAGTAATTCCACCAACATGTTGACAACTGTTAAATATGGCAAACTTTAGAAAGTAATCCATGCCAACATTCTAGCATGCATTGACAGCAATATACGCTATATAATTTTAGCAATGTGCTAAAACTTGTCAGAAACTTGCTAATTTATGCTAATAACATTTCATCAATGATTTTAAACATCTTAGAAATATGATACCTGCATTTTTTGCTCATACATCAGTTTCCTTCCTTTACAATTAATGCTAACATGTTAAACTTTGCTAATAGTATGCCAATCCATCTAAACCTTGTATTAAAGCATATTAGCATAATGTGTTGAAACTATTACAAATATCACACACATGCTAGGAACCAATTCATGCTAACATAGCCTGCAAACATGCTAGATTCCATTAACAGCAATATATGCTAAATCGCTTTAGCAATCTACTAAAACATGTCAGAAGCTTGCTAATTTATGCTAATAACATGTCATCAATGTTTTTAAACATGCTAGAGATATCATAAACCTTTTGTATTCGCTCATACATCAGTTTTCTTCATTTCAAATTAATGCTAACATGTAAACTTGCTAACAGCACACCAATCTATCTTAACCTTGTATTAAAGCATATTAGCAACATGTTAATTAATTCTACCATTGTGTTGAAAACTGTTAAACCACATGCTAGCAACACACACAAACCGTGCAAACATGCTAGCGTGCGTTAACAGCAATATATGCAAAATCATTCTAGCAATGTGCTAAAACATATCAGAAACTTGCTAATTTATGCTAATGACATGTTAGCAATGTGTTAAAACAAGATAAATATATCCCAAAACCTTTTCTTACCTTCTTCCTGATGAATTCAGTGTTTAATGTCCACTTGCAGGTCTAGTAGTGCAGGGCTCTAATGGCGAATACCCATATCTGACGGCGGAGGAGAGGGTTGAGGTGGTGAAGAGAGTGAAACAGGCCCTGCCAAAAGACAAGCTAGTTATGGCTGGATCTGGATGTGAATGTAAGACCCTCTACTATATGTACACCAGATTACACTTATAGACAGTTTTGACGATTCTTAATAATTTTTTATTTGTTTGCCACACTTTAATATTTCAGATCATCAAACCAGTTCAAATATGAGTTAAAGATGACACAAGAAAACACATCATGCAGTTTTTAAATGAAGGTTTTTATTATTAAAGGTGCAGTATGTACGTCTGACGCCTAGTAGTTGAACTAGGTCAAAACACATGCAAGTGCAGGTTGCCAGATTGACACCAGCAAAGACTAATGATTTAAGTCATGTTCTTAATAAAATCAACAGCACATGATAGAAGGCATTTTTTTTCCATATCAAAAAGAGTTTTGTGCTAATTTATATTTTAGAAACAGCTTCTTTTGCAGCTGAACAACAGAAAACTGATCAGCTCAGGTGCACCTCATGTGCTTCATTGAGTGTTTAATGCTAATTCGGTGAGTTGGAATGTCATTTTACAGGACATTTATTGCCATACTACAGAAAGCAGCAGCAGATAGTTCACCTCACATCTGGAAAATAAAACAAACCCTCTGAAATTGAACTGTGACTCAAAACCAACACATATCAGTGATTCAGCATCTACATTTAATTATATTAATATGTATTTATTTGATTATAAACCTTACCATTTCACTGGCGTGCAGTGAGTGCACTATTCTGTGCTTCTGAATGGCTGTATTTACATTTCTGTCGTTTTTCATCTGGTTCAAGCAGCCAAATTGCTCATCACTGCAAATCTCATCACGTTGCGTGTTTTGACACGGGGTTACAATGTAACCTGCTCACCTAATGCCTACATTCATAATCAAATTTCATCTCATTTTCGTTCCGCTTTTACGGGGCCGGGTCGTGTGAGCAGCAGTCTTGGGAGAGAACGCCAGACTTCCCTCTCCCCAGACACTTCGTCTCGCCAGCCGAGAGACATAGTCCCTCCAGCGTGTCCTGGGTCTTCCCTGAGGCCTCTTCCTGGTGGGACATGCCTGGAACACCTCCCTAGGTAGGCGTTGTGGTACACAAAAAAAGACTTTCACTTCAGGCATTGTTTGTGAATTAACCGACTTACGTGTTGCCTACTAACTGCAGACGCGATCATGAGGCTGTTTTTGTGCCTGGTTTGAAGTAATCAATCACAGAACTGGAGAAAGTGCAGTACTTTGTTAATTTTAATATAGCATATTAATAATGAAATCCAAAAATGATAGTATTATATTGAGAGTTAATTTTAAGCTATCTTGTGGCCCACCTGTTGGATCGCTGAGGCCCCCTAGTGGGCTGCGGCTCACCGGTTGAGAATTTCATCCTTATCAGATGAAATTAACCGTTCAAAGTTGTGCCATCCAGTGGATACAATTGGAACAGCAGCTTCTTTTATTAAAAAAGTGCAGCTCGTTTTTATACTTTACAGAATCATCTCGCGGGCCGGATCAAACCTGTTTGCGAGCCTGATCCAGCCCGCGGGCCGTACGCTTGACACCCCTGCTTTAGAGAACTTACATACAAAGTATAAAACTACATCGCCCTCTGTGAAAAAGTCTACTTCTGAATGGCTGAAGAAAAGCAAAATGAAGACTCTGTAGTGGCCTAGTCAATGTCCTGACCTGAATCCAATTGAGATCCAGTAAAATAACCTTAAAAACGCGGTTCATATAAATGTGCCATCTTCAAACTGAATAATAATAATAAGGTTATTAATAATAAAGTTGCAAATTTTATGTTCAGATCAGCATTTTGTGTCCAAATGTGAAGTTTTGCTGCAAGTAACCATATAATAATGTACATTACACTAGCCCAGGGGTGTCAAACTCAATACCTGGAGGGCCGAAGCCCTGCACAGTTTAGTTACAACCCTGCTCCAACACACTCACCTGTAGGTTTCAAACAAGCCTAAAGGACTCAATTAGTTTGATCAGGTGTGTTTAATTAGGGTTGGAACTAAACTGTGCACTTTTGGAACTGAGTTTGACACCTGTGCACTAGCCGGTTGTTATCGTAGGATAACGTCCAATGAAACACTAACAATGTTTAAATAATGTGAAAATATAACAGCTGTTGTACTAATTTAATTGATTTCTTTCTGAATTACTTTCTTTTGACTGAAATTTTAAAGTGTGGACATACTGCACTACATTGACATGAAATAACATCAATACATTGTAATGGTCTATACTGCAGACAGATAACATTCATTAGTTTTTTCCTTGTAGCCACCAGAGCCACAATCCAAATGAGCCAAAGAATGGCAGACGCGGGTGCTGATTGTGTTTTAGTGGTAACACCGTGTTTTTACCGCGGCCGAATGGACAGCCGAGCTCTTATAAACCACTACTCTAAGGTATGATGTTTTTAAATCGTGGCATTATTAGTCAGAATATGCTCACGGATGATAAAAACACTAAGATCTAATCAAGGACTGTTCTCTAGAGGCATCTGTGGACATATTTTTGCGCTCATTTGCATTTTACTTTGTTAAATTGCGCTTGAGCTTCACACTCTGTCTTATTAAAATGCATTGTTGCTTTCTTCCATCCCAAGGTGGCAGATTCCTGTTCAGTGCCAGTTGTGTTGTACAGCGTGCCAGCAAACACTGGTCTTGACCTGCCTGTGGATGCTGTAATTCAGCTCTCTAAGCATCCCAATATTGTCGGCCTCAAAGACAGTGGTGGAGACGTAAGATGAGGCATTTAAACCAATTTAACAGCAATGTTTATTTTATTAATGTAATATTATTACATGGCTCTCTGAAATAGCTCATTATGATTGCACAACCCAAGCTCATTCTGAAAACGTAACCCCACGGACGTTTCTGGAGACCGCGATTTACATGGCCGGAGGTACGTATGTCTGCATTTCGTTTTTTCAAGCCGGGGTCGCCACAGCAGAATGAACCGCCAACTTATCCAGCAAGTTTTTACGCAGCGGATGTCCTTCCAGCCTCAACCCATATCTGGGAAACATCCACACACACACTAATTCACTATGGTCAATTTAGCCTACCCAATTCACCTGTACCGCATGTCTTTGGACTGTGGGGGAAACCGGAGCACCCGGAGGAAAACCCACGCGAATGCAGGGAGAGCAAGCAAACTCCACGCAGAAACGCCAGCTAAACCGAGGCTCGAACCAGCGACCTTCTTGCTGTGAGGCGACAGCCCTACATACTGCCGCCACTGCTCTGCCTAAACACATCATGCAGTTATTAAATTAAACAAAATACAGAGCCCTGTTTAAAAAAGTAAAAAAAAAAAGACTTTGGAGTGGCTTAGTCAAAGTCCTGACCTGATATCTATTGAGATGCTGTTGAATGACCTTAAAAAGGCGGTTCATGTATATATTTGCTTAGTTTTCACTCCATTGTTCTTAAGTATTTGGTGCTATCTTCCAACTGTATAATAATAATAATAATAATAATAATAATAATAATAATAATGTAATGTGTATTTATATAGCACATTTATTGTGTATGGCCATACACCCAAAGCGCTTGACAATCATGAGATGGATCTCTCTACACCACCACCAGTGTGCAGCATCCACTTGGATGATGCGACGGCAGCTACAGGACAACAGCACCAGTGCGCTCACCACACACCAGCTATTGGTGGAGTGGAGAGACAGTGATGGAGTCAATTCGGTGGAAGGGGATGATTGGGAGGCCATGATCGTATGGGCCGATAGAGGGACTTTGGCCAGGACACCGGGGTTACACCCGTGCTCTTTCACGAGAAGTGCCATGGGATTTTTAATGACCACAGAGAGTCAAGACCTCGGTTCATCCGAAAGACGGCGCTCACTGACAGTGTAGTGTCCCCTTCACTTTTACTGGGGCATTAGGACTCACACAGACCTCAGGTTGAGCGCCCCCTGCTGGCCTCACTAACACCACTTCCAACAGCAACCTAGTGTTCCCTAGTGGTCTCCCATCCAGGTACTGACCAGGCTCAGCCCTGCTTAGCTTCAGTGAGTAACCGGTCTTGGGCTGCAGGGTGACATGGCTGTGGCCACATGTAATAATAAAAGGGTTATTAGAAAGTGACTAAGCCAAAAAGAAAATGAATGAATGAATAAATAAACGAATGAATAAATAGGGTTATTAGTAATAAGGTTGCAAATTTTATGTTCAGATCAATGTTTTGGGTTCAAATGTGAAGTTTTGTGGCAAGTAACCATATAATGTTCATCACATGACTAGCCGCTTATTATTGCATAAAAAGTCCAAATCCTGAAACAGTATTAACGGTTAAATAATGCTTAAATATGAGAGCTCTTGTAATAATTTAATATATTAAAGAAACAATTCATACAGTTTTTAATTGCCTTCTTTTGACAGTAATTTTAAAGTGTGAAAATACTGCATAATAAGTGCATTTCTAATTTGTCTTCATATTTCTGTCTGTTTTCATTTATTTATTTTTTTTGTCATCACCTTGAAACACCTGATTATTTGATAATTGATAGATCACCAGAATAGCTCTGATGGTGCAGAAAACCAGATCGCAGGATTTTCAGGTGCTGGCAGGATCAGCTGGTTTCCTCATGGCTGCGTACGCCGTAGGTGAGAATGAGTTCATCATGATCTTCACACTGTGAAATATTTCTGTCTTGTTATTAGAAATATAATTGGAAACAGCCTGACACATTTACATATACATTTAGGTGTCACTTAATATTTTAAATGAGTAGTAGTATCAGTATAAGTTACATTACTTGCACAACACACAACACTGTAAAAAATAAAACGTTAACTCAAATCAAACGTTTAGTTTATTTACCTTTATTTTATTTGACTTCACTGGAAAAAAGTAAACGATTAGCAATTAGTTGAGAGTTAACCTTGTTGCTATGAAAATAAATTAGTTGACTTTACTTAAAGAATTGAGTAAACCCGTTGCTTTAAAAAAAGATTACTTGACTTTACTTAAGTAAATCCATTACATTTAAAGCTGATAGTTGACTTTACTTAAAGGGCTCGTTTCAGCAGGGTGTTTTCACACCTCTACTTTGGAAAAAGTCAGAAAAGTGGGCGTGTCCAGCTCTGTTTAGGGGGGAGTGTCGGTGGAAGAAAAGAGGCATGGTGTGGGAGTGTCTATTTGGGCGCGCTGAATTTCAGCGTCAAAACACACAACCACAGCGGACAATGTGACTGTGTTTACATGGACATCTGTAGTCGAATTATTTGCCAAATTATTAAATGGTGGACTTTAACTGCAGTTTGGCTCTTTCATTCAGGTATTCATTCATGTCCCTCACGACAAACGTGATATTTGATTCGAGGAACTGCTCTAAGCCTGTATTTTTCATGCAATGTTTGATACCGCACGGCGAATGAGAGAAAAAAAAAACTCAGCATTTCCCGGAAACTTAGATGCACGCGGCAGGTAGTGTCAGAAAGCCGCGTGTGTTATTCCGGTCACAAAATCCAACACGAGGTTATAGTTTGGTTGTAATTGTTAGTGCTAACTTGTTTACACTCGGTGCAATAGTTTGTTTGATACGAATAAAATACGAACTGAAGAAACAAAGAGCACTGGTCACTCACCAAATCTGTAGAGACAGGACAATCACCAGCAACTAGAGCCGCGTCTTTATTTAGAGGAGACTAAAGCAAATCCGGATCTCAGCGTTTGCAGATGAGAACAGCTCTCAGGTAAACAATAACCCTCCTTAGACACATAAGTTATTGTTGTCGAGCGTCGCGTACACTGTTAATCCACACGTGACTCCAGCTGCGCTCTCACAGAGAGAAAATGAAAACAAAACTTAACTGCAGCAAACTATAAAAGCAACACTTCACGCTTGTTTTGCCAACACAACGTGGTGTCTCTGTCGTCTAAACACTGTGACAGTAATGAATATTAATGAAGTTGCACAATAGAGCGCGCTGATTGGTTTGAACCAAGCTTTACTCATGCATTAATGCATCACACTGTAAGACGTAATAAGACACACTCTGGCACAGACGTCCAGTCTGCATGCTGGAATACAACGCTATTATGTCATGACCGTGACGCAGCTTCAAAAATTCGTAAACCGGAAGTAGGAATTTGCTTGAAATAACGCAAAAACAACCAATTTACACTTTTTAGTGAAATATAGGTGTCCTAATAGTATTTTTAGCAGTGTGGGACACATATACGACTGTCAACAGCTCAAAAAATGTGTTTTGGTGTTTTAAGACCCTTTAAAGAAGTGAGTAAATGCTTTGTTTTCAAAGCGATAAGTTAACTTTACTTTAAAAAAGGGAGTAAAACTGTTGCTTTTAAATCGATTAGTTGACTTTACTTTAGAAATTGAGTAAACCTGTTGCTTTCAAAGCGATTAGTTGACCTTACTTAAAGAATTGAGTAAACCCAAAAACAATTAATTGACTTTACTTTAAAAAAGTAAATAAATCCATTGCTTTTAAAGTGATTAGTTGACTTTAAATAAAAGTCAGTAAAGCTGTTGCTTTTAAATTAAACAGTTGACATTACTTTAGAAATGTTTAGTTGACTTTACTTAAAGGGTGCAAACCTGTTGTTATAAAATTTGTTGTTATACCTGTTGTGCGCTTTAGACTTTGCGCCTAGATCGTTAAATTAGAGCCCAATGCATTTACTTATGCAAATGTATATTTATTCAGTTTTTATGTTTTAGTATTATTATTATTGAGTAATTTGCAAAGCTTTAGATAATTTGTACCAGGAACAATTTGTAAAAGTAATGTTTTTTGGTCTTTTACTGCTGTATTTCTCAGCCACGTTCCTGGAAGACTAACAGCACTGTAAGTTTTTCTGTAGATGAAAGCCTGACACAATCAACCTCCCCTCACTAATGTGTGTCAAAAACACACAGGGTGGTGAATTTCAACCGCGCGTGCGCACCGTCGCCCTGTCAGTCAAGCTGTTGCTTATGTAGGAGTGCTCTATATTTGTCACTCAGATTGCCCATTTTATATTTGATGCATTTGTGTGTGTGTTTTGCTGTTGCACTTTGTGACGTTATAGGTGTGTGTGTTTATTACAGGCGCTGTAGGAGGCGTCTGCGCCCTGGCCAATGTCCTGGGTCAGCAGGTGTGTGAACTAGCGCAGCTGTGTGTTTCCGGACGCTGGGACGAAGCCAAAGAGCTCCAGTATCGCCTCATCGAACCCAACACAGCAGTGAGCATCACGTCGCATGGCAACCGCACACATTTATTATACCGCACATACATTCACTGCTATATAGGCACCATAAACATTGGCAGCGGCGGCCCTTCCCCCATGAGCTCTGCTTCAAAGGCCAGAGGAAGATTCGCACCAGACTGCAAATGTAAAACACACACACACACACACACAAAAATAAAAGAGAAAGTATAATTGGTTGATCTTGAAGGGTTTGAATAGAATAAACATGCTCCTTTTTGACCTTGTGTGAGAGATTGAGCACGGCTAAAATGCTTTGCTGATTTTTGTCTAGTTTCTAGTCCAAATGTCTGAACATTTCTTAAATCAAGAAGCTTTATATTATATATATATATACATATACATAATTATGTATATATATATAATTATGTATATATATATATATATATACATTAGAATTAAAAGTTTGTTACAGTGTACTTATTGTGTAAATACATGCATTTACTGTATACTTATGCTTGATTAAATACATGTATGTAATTACATCTGTAATTAACTTTTGTAATTACATTTGTAAATACACTGTTGACCATCCCTTACACTTTGACCCACCCTTTAACCTACCCATGCCACCAAACCTGTCCATAACCCAACCTCTATCCCAACTCAAAAGCACCACAAGTGTTCTCAAATACATTATAAACACAGTAAGTACATTGTATTTATTTTTTTGATGTAAGTACAAAGTAGTTAAGGACACTTAATATAAAGTGGGACCGTATGTATATATATATATGTATGTATATATATATATATATATATATTATTCGAGAGAAGTAAAAATAAAAGTCTCTTTTTCAGATTAAAAACAAGCTGATTTGTAGACTTTATATAGATTTATATAGATTTTACAGTTTGTAATCCTAGTTATGGTATTTCATATATGTCCAAAAAGTAATAGGAAGATGCAAATGCTTATTTACTCCGTCCTCTTTTCTACTTTACATCTATTATGAGCCACAATCCATAACAATAAATAATAATCCTCAACAATAATCATCAAATTAACACTGTGATTCTGTCTTTTTAGCAGAGGGAAAAATGCTTTTCTTTGTTTTTGTCTCGTTTTTAGTCCAAATATCTTAAAATTCCTTAAATCTAGAAGCGTTGTATTAGATATATTATTTGAGAATGTCTCTTCTTCAGATAAAAACAAGCTAATTTGTCTTTTTTATATAGACTTTAGACTTTGTTTTGAACATATAAAAATGAACTACAATTAATAAACAAAGCAGAATAATACAACAATGCAACACAATTGGGTCTCATATGTGTCCGAAAAGCATCAGGATGAAGCAAATGCTTATTTAATCCTTCCTCTTTTCCACTCTACATCAATTATAAATCACAATAAATAATAATCCTCAACAATAATCATCAAATTAACACCATGATTCTGTATTTTAGGCATGGCAGAAAATGCTTTTCTTAGTGTTTGTCTCGTTTCTAGTCCAAACATTGTCCACATGTACCAAAAATCATTTATTTATTTTAGAATTTGTCAATTGAAGGACTTTTTATAGAGATTTCAGATGATTTCAGACATGTAAAAAATAAATAACTACAATGAAGCTAAATAAAACAACAACACAACACAGTACAATGCAACTTTACCTCATACATGTCTGAAAAGTAATAGGAAGATGCAAATGCTTATTTAAGCTTACCTTTTCCTCACTCTACATCGATTATAAATCAAAATTAATTATAATCCACAACTATAATCATCAAATTAACACCATGATATTCTCTTTTTACTACGGTAAAAAATCATTTTTCTTAGTTTTTATCTTGTTTCTTGTTCAAATATCTAAAAATTTAAATCAAGAAGTTTTATATTTTATTTTTTGAGACGAGTAAAAATAAAGCTCTCTTTTTCAGATTAAAAACAAGCTGATTTGTAGATTTTATATAGTCTTTATTTAGATTTATATAGATTTTAGAGTCTGTAATCCTAGTTATGGTATCTCAAACTTGTCCAAAAAGGTAATAGGAAGATGCAAATGCTTATTTACTCCGTCCTCTTTTCTACTCTACATCTATTATAAACCACAATCCATAACAATAAATAATAATCCTCAACAATAATCATCAAATTAACACTGTGATTCTGTCTTTTTAGCAGAGGGAAAAATGCTTTTCTTTGTTTTTGTCTCGTTTTTAGTCCAAATATCTTAAAATTCCTTAAATTTAGAAGCGTTGTATTAGATATATTATTCGAGAAAGTCTCTTTTCAAGATAAAAACAAGCTAATTTGTCTTTTTTATATAGACTTTAGACTTCGTTTTGAACGTATAAAAATGAACTACAATTAATAAACAAAGCAGAATAATACAACAATGCAACACAATTGTATCTCGTATGTGTCCAAAAAGCATCAGGATGAAGCAAATGCTTATTTAATCCTTCCTCTTTTCCACTCTACATCAATTATAAATCACAATAAATAATAATCCTCAACAATAATCATCAAATTAACACCATGATTCTGTATTTTAGGCATGGCAGAAAATGCTTTTCTTAGTGTTTGTCTCGTTTCTAGTCCAAACATTGTCCACATGTACCAAAAATCATTTATTTATTTCAGAATTTGTCAATTGAAGGACTTTTTATAGAGATTTCAGACATGTAAAAAATAAATAACTACAATGAAGTTAAATAAAACAACAACACAACACAGTACAATGCAACTGTACCTCATACATGTCTGAAAAGTAATAGGAAGATGCAAATGCTTATTTAAGCTTACCTTTTCCTCACTCTACATCGATTATAAATCAAAATTAATTATAATTCACAACTATAATCATCAAATTAACACCATGATATTGTCTTTTTACTACGGTAAAAAATAATTTTTCTTAGTTTTTATCTTGTTTCTTGTTCAAATATCTAAAAATTTAAATCAAGAAGTTTTATATATTTTATTTTTTGAGACGAGTAAAAATAAAGCTCTCTTTTTCAGATTAAAAACAAGCTGATTTGTAGATTTTATATAGTCTTTATTTAGATTTATATAGATTTTAGAGTCTGTAATCCTAGTTATGGTATCTCAAACTTGTCCAAAAAGGTAATAGGAAGATGCAAATGCTTATTTACTCCGTCCTCTTTTCTACTCTACATCTATTATAAACCACAATCCATAACAATAAATAATAATCCTCAACAATAATCATCAAATTAACACTGTGATTCTGTCTTTTTAGCAGAGGGAAAAATGCTTTTCTTTGTTTTTGTCTCGTTTTTAGTCCAAATATCTAAAAATTCCTTAAATCTAGAAGCGTTGTATTAGATATATTATTTGAGAATGTCTCTTCTTCAGATAAAAACAAGCTAATTTGTCTTTTTTATATAGACTTTAGACTTTGTTTTGAACATATAAAAATGAACTACAATTAATAAACAAAGCAGAATAATACAACAATGCAACACAATTGGGTCTCATATGTGTCCGAAAAGCATCAGGATGAAGCAAATGCTTATTTAATCCTTCCTCTTTTCCACTCTACATCAATTATAAATCACAATAAATAATAATCCTCAACAATAATCATCAAATTAACACCATGATTCTGTATTTTAGGCATGGCAGAAAATGCTTTTCTTAGTGTTTGTCTCGTTTCTAGTCCAAACATTGTCCACATGTACCAAAAATCATTTATTTATTTTAGAATTTGTCAATTGAAGGACTTTTTATAGAGATTTCAGATGATTTCAGACATGTAAAAAATAAATAACTACAATAAAGCTAAATAAAACAACAACACAACACAGTACAATGCAACTGTACCTCATACATGTCTGAAAAGTAATAGGAAGATGCAAATGCTTATTTAAGCTTACCTTTTCCCCACTCTACATCGATTATAAATCAAAATTAATTATAATCCACAACTATAATCATCAAATTAACACCATGATATTCTCTTTTTACTACGGTAAAAAATCATTTTTCTTAGTTTTTATCTTGTTTCTTGTTCAAATATCTAAAAATTTAAATCAAGAAGTTTTATATTTTATTATTTGAGACGAGTAAAAATAAAAGTCTCTTTTTCAGATTAAAAACAAGCTGATTTGTAGATTTTATATAGTCTTTATTTAGATTTATATAGATTTTAGAGTCTGTAATCCCAGTAATGGTATCTCAAACTTGTCCAAAAAGTAATAGGAAGATGCAAATGCTTATTTACTCCGTCCTCTTTTCTACTCTACATCTATTATGAACCACAATCCATAACAATAAATAATAATCCTCAACAATAATCATCAAATTAACACTGTGATTCTGTCTTTTTAGCAGAGGGAAAAATGCTTTTCTTTGTTTTTGTCTCGTTTTTAGTCCAAATATCTTAAAATTCCTTAAATTTAGAAGCGTTGTATTAGATATATTATTCGAGAAAGTCTCTTTTCAAGATAAAAACAAGCTAATTTGTCTTTTTTATATAGACTTTAGACTTCGTTTTGAACGTATAAAAATGAACTACAATTAATAAACAAAGCAGAATAATACAACAATGCAACACAATTGTATCTCGTATGTGTCCAAAAAGCATCAGGATGAAGCAAATGCTTATTTAATCCTTCCTCTTTTCCACTCTACATCAATTATAAATCACAATAAATAATAATCCTCAACAATAATCATCAAATTAACACCATGATTCTGTATTTTAGGCATGGCAGAAAATGCTTTTCTTAGTGTTTGTCTCGTTTCTAGTCCAAACATTGTCCACATGTACCAAAAATCATTTATTTATTTCAGAATTTGTCAATTGAAGGACTTTTTATAGAGATTTCAGACATGTAAAAAATAAATAACTACAATGAAGTTAAATAAAACAACAACACAACACAGTACAATGCAACTGTACCTCATACATGTCTGAAAAGTAATAGGAAGATGCAAATGCTTATTTAAGCTTACCTTTTCCTCACTCTACATCGATTATAAATCAAAATTAATTATAATTCACAACTATAATCATCAAATTAACACCATGATATTGTCTTTTTACTACGGTAAAAAATAATTTTTCTTAGTTTTTATCTTGTTTCTTGTTCAAATATCTAAAAATTTAAATCAAGAAGTTTTATATATTTTATTTTTTGAGACGAGTAAAAATAAAGCTCTCTTTTTCAGATTAAAAACAAGCTGATTTGTAGATTTTATATAGTCTTTATTTAGATTTATATAGATTTTAGAGTCTGTAATCCTAGTTATGGTATCTCAAACTTGTCCAAAAAGGTAATAGGAAGATGCAAATGCTTATTTACTCCGTCCTCTTTTCTACTCTACATCTATTATAAACCACAATCCATAACAATAAATAATAATCCTCAACAATAATCATCAAATTAACACTGTGATTCTGTCTTTTTAGCAGAGTGAAAAATGCTTTTCTTTGTTTTTGTCTCGTTTTTAGTCCAAATATCTTAAAATTCCTTAAATTTAGAAGCGTTGTATTAGATATATTATTCGAGAAAGTCTCTTTTCAAGATAAAAACAAGCTAATTTGTCTTTTTTATATAGACTTTAGACTTCGTTTTGAACGTATAAAAATGAACTACAATTAATAAACAAAGCAGAATAATACAACAATGCAACACAATTGTATCTCGTATGTGTCCAAAAAGCATCAGGATGAAGCAAATGCTTATTTAATCCTTCCTCTTTTCCACTCTACATCAATTATAAATCACAATAAATAATAATCCTCAACAATAATCATCAAATTAACACCATGATTCTGTATTTTAGGCATGGCAGAAAATGCTTTTCTTAGTGTTTGTCTCGTTTCTAGTCCAAACATTGTCCACATGTACCAAAAATCATTTATTTATTTCAGAATTTGTCAATTGAAGGACTTTTTATAGAGATTTCAGACATGTAAAAAATAAATAACTACAATGAAGTTAAATAAAACAACAACACAACACAGTACAATGCAACTGTACCTCATACATGTCTGAAAAGTAATAGGAAGATGCAAATGCTTATTTAAGCTTACCTTTTCCTCACTCTACATCGATTATAAATCAAAATTAATTATAATCCACAACTATAATCATCAAATTAACACCATGATATTCTCTTTTTACTACGGTAAAAAATCATTTTTCTTAGTTTTTATCTTGTTTCTTGTTCAAATATCTAAAAATTTAAATCAAGAAGTTTTATATTTTATTTTTTGAGACGAGTAAAAATAAAGCTCTCTTTTTCAGATTAAAAACAAGCTGATTTGTAGATTTTATATAGTCTTTATTTAGATTTATATAGATTTTAGAGTCTGTAATCCTAGTTATGGTATCTCAAACTTGTCCAAAAAGGTAATAGGAAGATGCAAATGCTTATTTACTCCGTCCTCTTTTCTACTCTACATCTATTATAAACCACAATCCATAACAATAAATAATAATCCTCAACAATAATCATCAAATTAACACTGTGATTCTGTCTTTTTAGCAGAGTGAAAAATGCTTTTCTTTGTTTTTGTCTCGTTTTTAATCCAAATATCTAAAAATTCCTTAAATCTAGAAGCGTTATATTAGATATATTATTCGAGAAAGTCTCTTCTTCAGATAAAAACAAGCTAATTTGTCTTTTTTATATAGACTTTAGACTTCATTTTGAATGTATTAAAATGAACTATAATTAATAAACAAAGCAAAATAATACAACAATGCAACACAATTGGGTCTCA